CCAGAGAGGAAGTGCATCTGAGGAAATAACATCTTAGGCATTCCCTAAAGACGGAGAGGATCCAGATATTATTATTGCAGGATAGTCTAGTTGCCATCAGTGAGAACCTGGAAAGTACCCCAAAGTTTTATGTTAGAAATGTATAGTATGGGTCCCTAGCATATAGAAACTGCCGGATGCTAACTTGCAGATGTTTGTACAGTTAGCATAAGTCACATTAACATTAATAAGCATATGTTGACAATAGCGTAACAATTGCTAGGGGTTCTGAGGATGTTGAATCAATTTCTGACATTTTTAGGATAATAAGCAGCAGTTTTGAGCCCTCTAGTCTAAAGCTTTAAAATAGACACAAAATTCATCAAAATCAGCCCAATGGGTTTAAAATATGGCCACTTTCTGGTTAAATCTGCCATTTAGGATCCTGAAAACATCAGAAATGGATTCAGCATCTTCAATAACCCCCAAAACCTCTCTGAAATTGGCCAAGCCATTTCTTAACTATTGTCTGCATATGCTTATTAACGCCACTTATGCTAATAGTGCAAATTGCCCAACATATGCAAGTTAGCATCTGGCCGTTTCTATAAGCTAGGGACCCGGACTATAAATGATATCATATATTTTGGGGTACTCAACATTTCCAGGTTCACAACAGGAGTTGGCAACTAGACTTGGAGGGGGGGAATACTGAGAAAGTTCCTATTTTAGGTGATTTTAGTGAATTTAAAAACGTTTTCTTACTGTACACCGTATGCCTCTTGCATAGGCAAAACATCCACAAGACACACACCTGTTTTCTGACAGCGTGTTGAGTTTTTGCATTTTTTTTTTTTACTCTCTGTTTTCAAAAGGTACAATAATTTACTCAGCGGCTTAAGCATACTGTAACACCAACAGGGTATCTTTGATTCACTGTGCAAGACTTAAGTATTTACAACCCACCCCAAACCTCAAAGTGTGCAAAACCAACCCACTCGATAAAAACAAAGAGAGGACAATCAAAATTCAAAATGGCTTCCGTCCAATACACGCATACACAACGGAAAAAAAAGGTCTCTTCGTTAAAAAGCTTTTAAAACATGCTCGTCAGGCTAGAAAACCCAAAACAGTTTGGTTGTGCTCCTGTCAGTTCAAGTGAGCCCAGCTCAACTGTGCCGGAAAACGACAACTTAAAAAATACCCCACCCCTTTTTAAATGTTTTTACAATATTGGTCAGTTTTTAAAGTCATAGACAGCTTCAACTCTTTTATACTTTAACTGTCAGAAACACAAATAAAAAGGGCGGTTTGGAGGAAGAGGGAGCGAGAAATTAAACTAAAAAAAGCTGTTTCTCTGACAGCTTCGTCTGACAGTCTTTTTCTCACTTTAGCCAATGGGAGTCGAGGATTCCTCCCGCTCTTTTGCACATTTAAGGCAGTGAGAAAGCACCAGTATCGTTGTTCCCTCATCTTGCATTTGTCAAAACACTTTGGACTCTTTTTTTGGTACCTCAAGGATTCCACATAGGTGCAGACGCTTAGCAAGCTGGACAGTAAGCTTGCATTAATTCACTTTTACTGATCAGCGTTGACTCATATCTGTTGAAGCCGAGGCGTTGACATATCATTGTTCTGCTTTTCTTGCAGTAAACCCACCCGTGTGATTTTCATGCAGCTAACACTAAAGTCAAAAATGAATCAGCGATGACTGTTTGCTAAGCCCAGTTTCTCTCCGGTCTGTCAGGCGTTGGGTTCTCGCACCAATGCAGCTAACAATAACAGATGTGGCTAGCTAATTAAGCTAACGTCAGACTTTTTAATGACTCGTGGTATCGATATCCGAAAAGAGGACTGACGCTGAAGCAGCATGTGCCTAGCTAACGGTTAGCATTCTTGCCAGCTTCAGTTAGATATCGACATAAACATCAGATAGTTCTGCAGTGTAAAGCAGAGTCAAATCAAACCTCTATTTAATTTCTATCATACATCTGTTTTGCTGATTAGCTTGCATACCTTTTTCTCATTATATATTCAGTAGGGCTGGGTGTTAAATCAATACATTTGATCTTCTTAAGATAACATTTCTCATAGATACCATGCTGTATTGTGACATATATTGTTAACCAGATAAAGAAATAAAGTATATATGAAATAATTGCCCCGTGTAGTTAATTAAAGGTTTTTTCGAATGCTATGCTAACGCTATCTCAGAGCAATATCTGCTGGAGTTGCTTTCTCCAAGTTCAACAAAGAGCAAGTCAGGCTAGTAAGACAATCATATATCCTTTGCCACTAACTAACCCTCCAAACTGCTTAAATACTGAGTATGTCTTGAACTCGAGAAAGTTTGTAAATGATTGTTGAAACTCTGTTGAAAAGAGGGGATTAGCAAGCAGTCAATGAAGACGGTTCTGTGAGATGCTAAGCTACATTGACGACGGACTGCAGAGCGTGCAAGGCCAAGAACAACTTAAGCTAAGTTTACAACCCCGTGATGTTAAGTCTCTGTGTTTGTGTGTGCACATTTGGCAGTAAAATCAAAAACATTGGCACTTTTTTCCATTTTGTTCTTCACAGTAGAAATGTGACTGAATGACACACGGACAATTAAGCACTTTTGTTGTGCTTGAGGAGCAGAGTACTGAGCACCATGAAGCTCAACTGACCTCAGATCAGAAGGGGTGTGTGTGTGTGAGTGTGTGTGTGTTTAAAAATGTAATTATTGTGGAGCTAGTTTGTCTGCAGAGGCTTTTCAAATGTCTCATACTAGCCTCCATTGTGGCCACCAGAGGGCGGTACATCACCCGGATTCACTTTAACCCTCCTGTCGTGTTCGGGTAAAATCTGACCAATTTACTATTTTCTTCAATCATAAATATTGTGTTTTACATTTGATTGCTTCAAGGCCTTATGATATCCTCCACAGTAGGCATTTATCCCTACTTTCATTGATGAATGGTGTTCCTAGTAAAAAATGTCGCCATAGGAAATGAATGGGTAACCCTATCAGATAATACAAACCCACAAATAGGCAAATAAGTTCATTTAGGAATACCTTTTTTGGTGCCTCCTCTCTTTGTATATTTCCCGCAGTGACTGATGTGAACCAGAAGTCTGAGACATTTTACAGCTTAAAGGGAATTAAATATAATGTGGTGATGATGAATGTTTTTGTGTTAATGTAAGAGCAGTTCAAACCAGAGGTGGGAAGTAACGAAGTACCATTTTGAGTATTTCCATTTGATGCTACTTCATACTCCACTACATTTAAAAGTGGACTAACTTAGTTCACTAGTTACGTTTTTAGAGATGTATTTTGTTAGAAAAAGGCTCACATTATTTAAATATCTTTCCAAAAGTCAATCCGAACTTTGTTTGTCTATAACAGTAACATGCTACTCGATTATCTAGAGATGAAACATATATAAAAATAATCATATACACACATAAAGGCAATTTTTCTGCACAATGATTAGCCTACTTTGAATGTTATTCTGTAAGAAACTTTTTTAGATAATATTTTTTTAAGTAAGATTTTGTAAGTATTTTGACAATAATGTGTTGGTACTTTTACTCAAGTGAAGCATCTGAATACTTCTTCCACCTCTGGTTGAAAATAAAAATGTTCACTGGGGGAGAAATGACCACGAGAGGAGGGTTAATGTATTCTAATGTACAGGTGGGCTCAGAGACAAGGGTGTAAATATTAGTCTTTGTTAGAAAAGGCGTCGTCTGGATGTTTTGGTTGAACTGTTTACAGCCAGTGATTAAAAGTCAGTGTCCTCCTGCTGCCCGTGTGTAAGTGCATGAGTGTATAAGTCTGTGTGTGTGTGTGTGTGTGTGTGTGTGTGTGTGTGTGTGTGTGTGTGTGTGTGTGTGTGTGTGTGTGTGTGTGTGTGTGTGTGTGAAGCACCTCTGTAAACAAGGAGAGACATAAACAACAGAACACCCCACCCTCCCGTTGTAAACATCTGAAGATACATATCTGGGATTTGAAAAAAAAGAATAATCCAGTTTTAAATTCTTGGCTTGGTCTTTTTTTTTTCTGTGTCTCATCACAGCTGACTCCTTCCTGCCGGCACATATATGAAAAGTTGTATTCTAAAATGTCATACATCCAATAAAACATGATCTGTGTTTAAAATAAAAGGATTGTTTGACACTTTTCCCACCAGATTGGCAATATTTAGACTCAGTATTGCACCGTTTGTAATGTGAATGGTGGCCCGCTGTACCATTTTGGATGATAAAACTTTTCATATATATATTATATTATATTATGGTATATATCTGGGGGGGTCTCATAGCGCCGACTCCAGCGAGGAGTCCAGCTGGTCGTCATGGTGACTGGTGCTATCGCTGTCGTAGCTCTGCGTGCTCGAGTAATTGGCCGCTTCCTGTAACCGTAGCAACATGTTCATCTGAAAAACACAGACAAGGAGGGTTAGGGTACAAACAATGTTATCTGTTACGAGATGTAATCTGAGTATCAAAAATATATAAGTGATGTGACCTGATTACTTCCCGTTACTTATGGATCACACATTATTTAAAATTAGTTTTATTGTTTTTATGTCTTATTTATGTTGCATAAATACATTTGACTGAAGTGTATTATGTAAGACAACAGAACAGTGTGGCCTTAGAAAATAAGAAATCTAGATATTTGGGTAAAGAAATGTGTCCGCTGCCTATATATAATGTACACTATATACTATCTACTAGATATTTATGTATTAGATTTGTAGAATTTAATCCAACATCACTTCGCTCAGATTCCACCCCTTACTGCCAGTCCTTCCATATTCTCCTACACGTGTACTGGTGCTTGTTATTACTAGTACTACTGTTGTAAAAAAAGCTTTACAAAGACTTCTCCTTCACTCCAGGTGTTCATGGTGTGTGTTCCTCACCAGGGGGTCTCCATCGGTGTCGCTCTGGGACACCTGTTTGGAGGAGGCTCCCTCCTTGGAGGAGCTGTAGCTGTCGTAGCCCACGTCCTCCGGCCTCAGCTGCAGCAGAGTCTGAGCGTCCGGCTGCTGCGAGGCGCCGCTCCACGGGTACGTGTCGTTCACCCACTTAGAGGGGTCCTCCCACACTGCTCTCTTCCCGTATAACTGCAGGGGATATCAGAAAACAGATGTGTTAGGGTTAGGTTTTCATGTCTCTCCTACATCAACATGTGTCCCCTCTTCTTCATGTCTCTTCTACATCAACATGTGTCCTCTCTTCTTCATGTCTCTTCTACATCAACATGTGTCCCCTCTTCTTCATGTCTCTTCTACATCAACATGTGTCCCCTCTTCTTCATGTCTCTTCTACATCAACATGTGTCCCCTCTTCTTCATGTCTCTTCTACATCAACATGTGTCCCCTCTTCTTCATGTCTCTTCTACATCAACATGTGTCCCCTCTTCTTCATGTCTCTTCTACATCAACATGTGTCCCCTCTTCTTCATGTCTCTTCTACATCAACATGTGTCCCCTCTTCTTCATGTCTCTTCTACATCAACATGTGTCCCCTCTTCTTCATGTCTCTTCTACATCAACATGTGTCCCCTCTTCTTCATGTCTCTTCTACATCAACATGTGTCCTCTCTTCTTCATGTCTCTTCTACATCAACATGTGTCCCCTCTTTTCCATGTCTCTTCTATATCAACATGTGTCCCCTCTTCTCCATGTCTCTTCTACATCAACATGTGTCCCCTCTTCTTCATGTCTCTTCTACATCAACATGTGTCCCCTCTTCTTCATGTCTCTTCTACATCAACATGTGTCCCCTCTTCTTCATGTCTCTTCTACATCAACATGTGTCCCCTCTTCTTCATGTCTCTTCTACATCAACATGTGTCCCCTCTTCTTCATGTCTCTTCTACATCAACATGTGTCCCCTCTTCTTCATGTCTCTTCTACATCAACATGTGTCCCCTCTTCTCCATGTCTCTTCTACATCAACATGTGTCCCCTCTTCTCCATGTCTCTTCTACATCAACATGTGTCCCCTCTTCTTATGTCTCTTCTACATCAACATGTGTCCCTTCTTCTTCATGTCTCTTCTACATCAACACGTGTTGATGTAGAAGCCTTATAACCTGAATCTCCTCCTAGAGCTCCTTTGAGTTCTTTGTAACCAAATGTCTCTCAGAGGGGCGTGGGGAGGGGCTCCTTATTTCCATCTAAAG